GATCCCGGGACTCCAGGATCATGACCTGAGCCGAAAGCAGTCGCTTAATCAACTGAGCCACCCAGGCGCCCGGTATCTTATGGTTTTTGGTGCTATTGTAAATGGAATCGATTCCCTAATTTATTCACCAACATTTGTCCACTACATTGTACAGCACCTTAGTTGATAAATATTTGTGAGTGAATGAATGAATGAGCCAATGAGCACAGCTTCTTTAAGAGCAGATAGGTTTGCTGCAGAAAAGAATCAGCCATGTCTCAAGACTAAGAAGTGGAAAATAAGTTTCTGTCTTGTTTGAAGGGAAGAAGCAATTTTCAAAAGTTTCTCTAGCCACTATTTCATGCTTCAAGAGGAGAGAGCTGGAAAAGTCATGCCCCCTCCCTCCCAGAGTTGTCTCAATGCTCCCACACCCAACTCTTTGACATAAATTCATTCATTCACTAATAATTTTAAAAAATCATTGACATAGTGTTAATATCAATCCCAGTACTGAGTGCTCTAGGTCCTAACATAATAAATTAGTTTTGATTATATAATGTATATAAATGAAATTCAATGATTCGCTATAATATCAGGATGAGAATATCATGATCTAAAATATATAAATGTCAGCATTATATGTAATACAGCTTACTTTAGAAAAGTCATCAATGGCCAGTACTTTGTTTGATATTTCATACATCTCACCCCTCCTGAAATATATATCAGCATCCATGGGCTTGCACTTAATTGCCTGGGTATAGTTTAGAATTGCTAAAGTAATGTCTTTTCTTCTCCTGAAAATTTCCGCCTTTGACAAATATGCCTCTAAAGAAAATTAAAAAGGTAAAATTTAGTGTTACGGTCCTTTTATTAACTATGAAAATTTTAATCCCTCTCCCTTTAAAAATGTAGTCTTAGAGTGATGTTTCTCTATTATACTTTCTTAACCATTTCATTTAAGGGTTTTTTTTTTTCTACTTCAACAATGCAGAACTTGCTCTCAAAGTCTGATAAATACTCATTACTGTTAAAAGTATTTTCAATTTCAATCCTAAGTAACAAAAATTACCTTTTACCTTTTTGTATATCTGAAGTGTTTCATACTCTTTTAATGTTTATAGTAAAACAAAATTGTATGGACTTTGGCAGAAATAGGCATAGATCAAAAAATATTTATGAAGCTCAAGTTATATTCTAGGGGTATGTTGTGTATGCTGGGGATACAAAGATGAATGTGACATTTTCTCATTCCCAAAAGGTTCTATGTTTCTGGGTTCCATTCAAGCTGGTTAGAGGATGGTACATAAAGGCAAATGTACAGATTCCATCCAAGAAGTCACGGAACACTACAATGCTTCAGGGATTTGTAGTCAAGAAAAGCTTTATGAATCATGTCTATAACTAAAATTTTTAAGTTCATATCCTTCTTGTGGGATGAGCAGTAGGAACAAATTTATTGTAATGTACACAAGGACATTAGCCTTTCAAAGCATGATGAGTATTTTGGAAATAGTATAGGATCATACAAGTCCAATATATACAATATCAAGAGTAAATTTAACTTTTAAAAGCTACAACCATTTTTGGAGACTTATATCTATTAACTTATATATCTTTATAACACCACTAAATGACCAAAGCTTAGGTAAAGATATAAGTAATATAAACACGCAGACAACCCACCTGCATTATTTTTATTATATTTATTTATATAATTCAAATCATCCAAAGCTTCATTAATTTTGTCTTGGAAAAGATAAATGAAATGTCGGTGCCAATAGGCATTGAGAAACAATGGCTCCAAAAATATAGCCTAGAAAATATATGTATATAAATTCAATTAAAGTTGTTTTATTAAAGGAAAATATCCTATCAAATAAATTTTGCAAACACTATTGATCCAAGTGGCTTTCTATGTATATAATATAAAATGATACTTCCCAATCTGACAAAATGTAGTGTTTTTAATATCAGTTATTGAAAATGCCAATAATTATAGTTTCACAATCCCACATGTATACTGCAAATATTCATGGTTCAAAATTCTAGTAGAAATTATTATATAAATTATTACATAGATAGAATTATAATTATAAATATAAGTATAAATTGTTAGTATTGTTATTCTGATTAAATAAAACTTACTTCCTGTAGATCTTTCATGGCACTCTGTAACTTTCCCAGTTTCCTATAAATAGCTCCACGCCTACAATATGCAAATGCAGGATATTTTTTCTTATCATTTATTTCTTTAGTCAAGATCTCCACTTCGGATTCATAATGTTTAATAACTTCTGGAGAAAGACTAGACTTCAAAGAATCACTCAATTCTATTTTTGGTGGTTCTTTCATTCCTTCAGACAAGCCTTCATGGATAGATATTTTAATAACTTTCTTTTCTGTGGTTGTCTTCTGATGTTTATGATAAGAGAACATATCAAGAGCCCATGTTCGAAGGTCACAATTTTCTGGAATTCCTCCCTTACTTTGGACAAATTCATCAAAATTTAAACACATAGGTAGACTGGGACAAGGAATTTTACGTTCATATAATGGAACTTTGAGTAAATATTTCTTCTGTCCAGGAAGGATTCCATGAGATGTTGATCTGGTTATTAAAAGAGTGATTTTTTAAATTACAGAAATATAATTATTTTTATAATCAATAAATCAACTCAGCCACACATGAAATTACTATTTCTCTATTATTAATATAAAATTACATGCTATTTTTATGCAAACCAAGTCCTCCCGTTCATCAAAACTGTAACACCATATGAAGAATCTACACAGAAACTCTATAGAGTTTATTAAAGCAGACGATTGTTATCTAAAGATGTAGCCTTCTTACAATACTGAAATAAGGTGTTGATGCTCCTTTCAGATTTAATTTATACCCCTGCCCCCAACCAGAGAAATTACAATGGGGAATTGAAGAGGTAAACTGATGTAAGAAAGGAAATGCCATCCAAGAGGTTGGAGAGCACAGGAACTTGAGAAAATGGGAAGAAGGAAAGATTTGACTAGACAGTAAACTACTAAATTAACATCCCAGACTTCACCCTTCTTTAGTAGACTATGAAATTAGAGAATACCTAATATGCTTTCAATGGACATTTCCACCTCCACATTCATCTCTACCCGTCTCTACTTTGCCCTCTGCCCAGGGGACTAATCTGTACAGATTACATCCATAAGATCCCTTATTCTCTGTCTTCTAATGGGGTATGTCCAATTAGAAATCCCAAAGAGGTAAGTAGGAGAGTGAAATCAAGGTATTTATTCCTCTGGTTCCCTCCTGAAGGGTTGCCTGAAACTGGCTATGATCCTTGACCAAAGATCAAATGACCAAAGATCACTACTTTTTTTAAGGAAACCCTTTCTACACAATTCCTCTTGAAAGTTCTGGTAATCACTCCTACTTTTTGTCCTCTCAGCCTTAGGAGTAGATAATGGCTCTGTTATTTTTAGCCCTAGGATACTACATTATCATTTTTGGTTTCCCTGCCCTGACATCTTTGTAAATTGTCTTTTTATTATACTTTCCTAGAATTATCCTAAATTGAGAGTGCTCTTTACTGGCACCCTGACTGATAAAATAATTGGTACCAGAGGTAGACTCAGGAAATACACACACAGAAGGATCCTAGGATAAACTTCTTGCCAGGATCAAATAGGACACAAATAATCCATGGTATGTGGTGCTATCGAAGCTCCTCAAATTATCACCAATGTTAGCAGGGGATGGTGTTCAGGTGGAAGGCAAGGTATCAGGAAATCAAATAGCTACCACTTAGTCATGAGGATAATAGCAATGATTATAAAAATTGTGGAATCATTTTACTTCAGACCAAAAGAGAAGAACAGTACCTATTAAATACCCAAATTCCCTAAACCTTGTATACCAAGGTAATGAAGCTACTAGGAAAGGAGTAGGAAACTGAAATATAGGATGTGAATATTTGAGCAAGCATAAATGAGCCTGACAATTTTGAATCTCCAAATTCCACTCATCTTCTCTTAACAGAAGAGACTGGTTGAGGGACTGTCAGATTCCCCAGTCTGAGAGACTAAACCTCTCCTGTATAGATATCTTTCAGTGAGTACACTGAGACATTGCTTCATATGGTATATTACATTTAATTTAAGCACTCCCCAAAATCACTCAGCTGTGACCTCCTGAACCCTTTCATGGAGTTACAACTACCACCGATCCGCCTCCTGCATACCTCCTCCGCATAGGTGGCCTTGGATCAGTGGCTGCTAACCCTAACCAGTGCAGCCTTGCTAGAACTTCCAAATATACTCTGAGTGATCCCCCAACTTTAGCATCAGTCACCTGGAAGACTCGTTAAATACACATTTCTGGTGTAGATTTCTAGTGAGATTTGGTGGACAGAATTTTTTTAAAGATTTATTTATTTATTTATTTGAGAAAGAGAGAGAGCAAGGGAAGGGGTAGAGAGGGAGAGTATCCAAGCACACTCCTGAGTGCAGAGCCCAATGTGGGGCATGATCTCAAGACCCATGAGATCAGGACCTGAGCCACAACCAAGAGTGCGATGCCTAACCAACTGAGCCACATAGGTGCTCCAGACAGAATTTGAGGTTATAGGGATCTGTGGCAATAACTAAATGACTGCCAAGTCCTCAGAAAATAAGGTAGATGGGCAGCCTGCTAAGGTGTTCTTTGACTTACACAGATGAAAAACTTTTAGGTCTTCTGGGCATAAGCCTAACCAACTATAGTGGGGTTTTACAACCTCTTACGCAGCTCTCAGACCTCAGCCAGTTCATATCTAAAACCTCTCAGCCGACAGGAAGGCCAGACCAGGTCCCGCTGAGGAAGGATCTTGCAATGTGGCCTTGATGTATTTAAGGAATTTTCCCCAAAAGTTTCCAGAGGTCTAGGAAAGAGGAAACACCCAAACCTCCTGGGAATTATTAGATACCCTAAACTTATGCTGATCCACAGATACCCATTGTGGATGCCACTGAAGTCCACAGACAAATTAGGGAATTATGATGGTCAAGTGATATAAAAAATCTTGGCCTGAAACCATCTAACAGAATCTAGTGAGACATGGACCCATTCTGAGATAATTTCCCTAGTCCCAGAATGTGTAGTAGGAATGAATCAACTTCATAACTGCATAAACTATATACTGAAGAAGATAATAGTAGTAAGGATCAAGTGGAAATCTCTATAACTGCCCCATTCCATCCTATACCACCATCCACCAAGATAGTATATCAAAAGCAATACCAGACCATCAGGGAAATTACGGATTAACAGCACAAGGAAAATATGTCATCTCCTGCTTGTGGGGGAAATAAATTCTGCCTCTCTTGGGGGTGTAGCAGTGGCAAGATGGGCCAAGAAAATCAGAACTGAGACTACAGATTCACTTTCAGGAGCTAGTCAAGTTTGGAAGCTTTGATAGTGGAAGTCAGGACCATGGCCTGACTTATTCTAGAAAGGGAAGAAGGCAATGCATTCACAGAAATAGGAGAGCCAATAGCAAAAGGGCTGGCCTGGATCTCAGATCAAGTATGTTACTCAATCCTGGAAGACAGAACATTTGCAGAGATCCGAGAGGCTAACAATTCATAGAAGTCCAGGTCAGAGAGAAGGCAATGAGTACAAGGGAGTCAAGGTGGGCCAGGAGCCATTAACAAACACAGCTTCCTGCCACATCAGTGAGCTGCCAAAGAAGGTCTCTGCTAGTCGCTGACTGGCTGGTCCACCAATACTGGGATCAGAGACCAAAGCAGAGAGAAACTTCCAGAGAAATGGTGAAGCAACAAAGTTACTGCAGACATATGGCATCCTGCCATGACCTAGATGAGGGGCCAGGCAACAGGGATAACCTATAGTAAGGGGACTGACAGAAAATGCATGGGTCTGGGTTTAGCTCAAATAGACTTTGGCAGGAGTTACTTTCCACAGTCAAGCTTTAACTTGATATATGAGTACATACATAGTCTGTTTTTAACCATTTAAGGGAGCCAGCAAGAATGAGGATGATTAAACAAGCTTAAAGGTCAGATATAAAACGGTAAGAAGGATAATTCTGTTTTAACCACAATAAGATTAGTGAAAAAAGATCTCAAACTATAGGAATAAAATTATCTTTTAAAGTTTCTCCATAAACTTGTTTTAAAAATAACAGTTTTTTCATAGCTACACTTTTACGCTAAATTAGTTTAGATTAAGATTTTTTTTAAAAGTAGTTAGGGAAGCTGTACTAATATATTATCCTAGACAAATACTCCCGTGGTTTGTTTTACTGCCTCCACCAAAAGGTGCATCCTATTACACCTGTTGGCAATATATACAAATATCAAATTCAGTTGTTAAAAGGCAAATAAATCTCTTTATAACCAAAGTGATAAAGAATCAGAATGAAGTAAAATACCACACAAAAATAGTGCTTCACCTGCTTATATCCTTTAGAGAGACAGAGTCACTTAGGTCATGGCCAAAATGGTGCAGTGTTTTATCCTCTCTAGGACAGTAAAGATTCATATGCCTTGAAATCAGCAAATATATCAAAAATGTATAAGCAAATTTCTGGTTCTTATCAAAAACATTTGCCAACTTAAGAAAAACCTATCTGAAGTCTTCTAAAGATGAGCTAACAAAAACAGCTCCACACTTTTGTTGCAGGGAAAACTCAAGCATAAGTAGCGTGTAGGGTACTCAGGACTTGAATGGCATCCTCCCCTAGGGTCGGTCTCTGTTCCATCATGCTTACATAGGTTGTTCCCAAGTCTTTTCAGGGACAATAAGTCACCACATACCAAAACATCATTAATTTAACCGTTTTTCAGAACCAGCAAGTCTTTATAATAATGAAGTAAACAAAAACACTTATGACTCTCTTATCAACAGGAAAGTCTTTACTTTTCAAAAAGGCATAAATTTAATGAATTCTTTGTCATCTGAGGATATCTAGAGAAATAAAGCCCAGAGCTTTTTGCAAACTATTTTGAACTACCCTTCAGTTATAAGAAAGTTATACCCTGAACACTTAAATATGAGCATACCTGGAACTTCAGTTGCTGTCATCTTAGGTCCTTGCACGTTTTTTTAAGATTTATTTATTTACTTTAGAGAGATCAAGAAAACAGGGCAAGGGGCAAAGGGTGAGAGAGACTCTTAAGAGACTCTTAAGCTGGGGCGCCTGGGTGGCTCAGTCATTAAGTGTCTGCCTTCGGCTCAGGTCATGATCCCAGGGTTCTGGGATCTAGTCCCACATCAGGCTCCCTGCTCTGCGGGAAGCCTGCTTCTCCCTCTCCCACTCCCCCTGCTTGTGTTCCCTCTCTTGCTGTCTCTCTCTGTCAAATAAATAAACAAAATCTTAAAAAAAAAAAAAAAGAGAGACTCTTAAGCTAAGTGGTGAGCCCAACACCGGGCTCCATCTCACGCCCCTGAAATCATGACCTGAGCAGAAATCAAGAGCTGGATGCTCAAAAAACTGAGCCACTCAGGTGCCCCATGTCCTTACACATTTTTAAACATGCTAGATACTATTACTTCTAAGTAAGGAGAAAAATTATTTCTATATGTTGATCCCTGAATAAGGGCTCACACAACATAAAAAAACAGTTTGTCTATCTAGATTACTCAATTCATTAAGTCCAAATCTAAAAACAGTTAAATCTCAGCAATCTATTTCAACTTCTGAATGGGTGATATTTGTTTGGAGCAGAGGTTGTTTTTTTGTATTGAAAGATTTCATTTAACTATCAAATTGACTTAGTTTTACTTCATGTCCTTAAGTTAGCCCCAACTTTAAAATATAGTTTAAACCAGTCATATATTTATACTATTGAATATCCATATATTAAAAAGGAAGGGATTCTCCTTTAGCTAAGACTTTAACATATTTTCAGTGCTGAATAAAATAATAACTTCAGTTAGTGAAATTATAAGATTAAGACCAAAACCACAATACATTTCGTGAACTATAACAATTATTGATTAAACAAGACCTTTTAAGAACTTTTGGAGACTTGGCTAATTCATCATACACGGCTGTAAGTTTATTGTGCTTCAATCTTTTCTTCAGTCTTATCTTCTTTTTCTTGGGATAAACAATATAACTAATGCCAGCTTTTTTAGATGCTTCAATGAGAGAGAGAGACAGATCTCTCAAACTCCTTTTCTCCTGCATGTTATCTAAGATGGTATCTATATTTTCTTTCTCAGAGGGTTCCTCAGTTTCATTTTGCTGAGTCATCCAATGCTCCAACTGCTTTGCTTTCTGAAATATCATGTCTTTTATATTGCTTTGCATGTCATCCTTAATCTTTATTGGAGCTGTGGCCTCCTCTTTCTTCAATTCAACTGCAGATTTTACTCTCTTATTAGCAAGGAAACAAAGATAGAAAAACTTAAAATCAAGCTAGTTGCTATATGTTTTAAACTAATTCAGTTATAATTATTATTAATGTAGTTTGAAAATTTTAAATTGTATTCTTAATGTTTTTCAAAGTCAGCTTATAAAGTTAATAGTAAGTTGGTTAAAGCAAAGTACAATAATTTGGTTATGTGACATTTTGTTAGCTACATAAAAATAACACTATAAAGTAGATATGCATTAACTGTGATTTTATATATTCTTAATTAAAAGACAATGCTTTTTACATATGCAAATAAAGTACATACTCTACTTTTATTCTTAATGAAAAAGAAATTGGTAGAATGGGTAAAAACTATTAAAATGCCTTATCCTATAAAACCAATTTGTGAGTCTATTTTCAAAAGCACTTTAACAACACTGAATTTCTATACAGTAGTATTCAAGTATCCTCTACAATAATTTAATTCAATATTTATAAGCTTAAGAATAGAATTCCAGCCTAATATTTTTATCTAATCATCAGAGAATCAACTTAACTTTTAATAATAACATCAATATTATAATGTACTAATAATTATAAATAATTTGCAGTAACTATGCATTAGTACTTGAAATTCTAACAACTCATTATTAATAAAAGAGATTAGTTCCAATCCTTTGATATAACATTTCCAGCTTATTGAGCCATTGTCACTAAATTAACTGCATTTAAGTTTGCTAATAAATAATCATTTGTTATACAAATGTTTTTCTTTATAGTGAAGTTAGGCTCAAATTCCAAACATAACAATTTCACACAAGCTAGTTGTATTCTTTAAGATGTACTAAAGTACAATAGAGATATTGACCCTCATAACTTATCATACTTCCCCCATCTCAAGAAACTATATGTAACTCATTATATAATTAAAAGAGAATAGGGTAATACATAGACTATAGAATATATGTATGTATAATATAGGTATATATCAAGAAATATAGGCACAGGGGTGCCTGGGTGGCTCAGGCGTTAAGCTTCTGCCTTCGGCTCAGGTCATGATCCCAGGGTCCTGGGATCCAGCCCCACATCGGGCTCCCTGCTCAGTGGGAGGCCTGCTTCTCCCTCTCCCACTCCCACTGCTTGTGTTCCCCCTCTCGCTGTGTTTCTCTCTGTCAAATAA